TAGATGTTATTACTGTTTTTCTTAGACATTTTATTGTTGGATGTAACTGGGACCCTGTGTACATAATTTCACTCCACCACATGTACCACATGAGGTGCGAATGACAATAAAGAAACTCTGACTCTGACTCTGACTTGCACTGTTCGCACATAAACAAACAGAGTTTTCGCTCCACCTGAAGTCGAGCACATATTACACGCAAAGCGTCACCAAAACGATTTACTTACGGTTCAGGAAATGCAATGCACACTGTAAATTGTGTAAATACACAATAAAACCATGTGTACTTTGCACCAAAACAATTTACTGACTGTTACAAAGGTACGAACACCTTTCTCCGGGTTGTTTGGATCGGGCAGGTATGCCAGGAGACTTCACCTTAGTTTAAGAGAGTTTTAATACACACCACAGTTAAAGTATTACAAAAACAAAATACTGAAATGCATTTCAGGAGACAATAGAGGCGTACTTCACCTGAGAAATCGCTCTGCTCAAGATCGTCAGATACTACTTCCTGCTTTAGGATAATATAAGCACTTCAAGAACCCGCCTCCCTCCTAGAGGGGGATCTTCTCCTATTGGATGACCATCTAGTCAATCTAAGGTTACCTTGGCAACCACGCAGTCATATGTTTTATCTTTCAAGGAAAAACAAGTTTGAACTGGATTTTGGTACCAGTCTTGAAAGTAGCTTTTCTTTTTTCCCTGTCTACAGACGATTTAGCCCCTCCTTCCTACTCAGTGCTGTACGAAAACAAGTTTTTCACCTCTATGTGATAAAATATGTGTGAACAGTTTATAACACACAAAATTGGATATGATGTGAATAAAGTATAACATATAAAACTATGAAAAAAGTGAACACAGTATAAAATGTCCAATACGTGTGAACACACCCAGCCTGTCTATTCATCATTCCCACTCTTGGTCTCTTCAAAAGAGACCAATTTTCTGAACTTATCCATTTCTGTTGTGTTGAGGTCTTTCAAACTTTGAGAACCAACTTTCAAACACTTAGCTCAAAACTGCCTCAATCTGAGATCGTTCAGTGGAAGGAAGACAGAGTCAAAAACACAGCCTGAGAAGTGGTTCTGAATTCAGACAAAGATTTATTTTACCTTCACAGCGCTGGAAAGGGAGACGTCTCACATGCACCTTACATCCATCTTACACGTCTCAATTACAAATGTATTTGCTTTGTTTAAATACAGCCTTATCAGTCACATTGGGATGTCCTTATCATGATGTTGTTCTGAGTCAGTCGGCGCTACTGGGCGTGGTCTGGCATGGTCTTGTTTTTTTTTTCGCCCACTGCCCCAGCTGAATGTGATCTGTTCTTGGCAAGATAACAATAGTCTCTGGTTCCCTTGTACAAGGAGTTACGCACATCATGAACCCA